TGATTATTGTATCCTCCTTGGACTTCTGTTGAATTACCGGAAAAGAATTAAAGGAGACCCAGTAAAGTGGTGTGTGTGTGTGTGTGTGTGTGTGTGTGTGTGTGTGTGTGTGTGTGTGTGTGTGTGTGTGTGCGTGTGTGTGTGTTTTCTCTCCAGCCTCTTTTTAGAGTCCACAGGGTCACAACATAAGGACACAAAATATGTGTAATAGCAAATATTACACTGTACTTTCATATTTGTGTCTTTCCAAGTGTTTAGCTATTCACATGCTCAAAAGTTCTGGGCTCTTACATTCAACACACACAGCAGCCCCATGAAGTAAGGTATATAGTCAGGTGTATTTGAAGATAAAGTGCTGTTACCTGTTGGGAATTTCTGTTATTAACCCAAAGTTGTAGTTGATAATGCACTTAGAAGGCATTGAGACTCAGCAGGCTGATTTAGAAGACCTTGCTTTCAGCTTTCACATGTCAACAATATGAGAATAGCATCAAGGAATAAGTGATCTTATTTATTTCCACTAGAAGAACTCCAAATTTCATAATCTATTTTGTTGTCACCTACCATGTGATTGGCTCATATATTTGACAGGTGAAAATACTAACTGCTACTAAGAAAGAAGTACCCAAAGATCATTTAATTTTTCATTGTTTATTCTCCTTATTGGAATTCACAGATCCTTACATATATATTATTTTGATCAGGAGATAACGAGTTATAAACTTTTACATAACATTCAACTACAGAACTATTATGGTCAAATTTTTAAGTCATTGATTTGGGATTTATTGATTCTGATTTATTTAGTTCATCTTAATTGCAAATTGATTCCATTTTTGGTGTTTTGCTTCTAATTCTTGAATTTTGTTGCAGCCACAGAGAGCCATAGGAATAAATTTTTTTATTTTATAATTTTAAATTATTTGTTTTATTGATGCAGTTCATTTTTTTCTCTTCTTGGTAAGGAATACAGCTTTGACAGTAATAATTCAACAACAATAAAAATCTATACTTAAAATATAATTTTGTTAATACTATTGTTATTGATATTAATATTATACACTCTTAATACTTCCTAAGAATTTTTAATGTGTTTAATCCTTAGTGATTTAAAGGTATAATTATAAAAGGACCATCATCTTTATTTTACTCAGACTTCTGAATTAACTCTAAATATCTTTCCCTATCAACCTTCCTATAGTAGTACACAAAGTGATATTAGAGTCTGGTAGCACAAATTCAGGTGGGGCTGTCCCATTGACATAAAATACATTTGAAAAAGAAATACAGAGAAGCTAGGGATTCAGACCTAGCTAATCAGCTGATTAAACATTTTCCATGGTACTATGGTATAAATATTAAAATACAAAAGGTTTCCTCCATCATTTTTTATCACATTCACTAAAAAAAAAAAAAAAAAATTGAAGGAAAGGAGAATTTTTATTTCTTTGCTGAAGTTAGTCTTTTTTCGTTAGTCAGGAGAGCAATAATTGTATTTTAAAACTGGAAATGTCAGGACACCAGCCAGGATCGCAACAACCCTTTGGCTTCATAAAGCAAACATGTCATTCAACCATCCCAAAAGCCAACCAGAGGAGTGGTACTGACCACTCCAAGTGTTCTGACCTCCAAGTGGATGGGCTTACAGTTTGGCCCGAGTACTTCCTATTCCATTATTTACTGTGACTTATCAGTGATCAGATCTTTGTACGTGAGGACTAAACCCTCAAACATATTTCTCCTAACTCCATCTTTCTTCACACTTACCCTTACCTGGCATAAAAATTATGTAGTACTGTCTAAAGATATGTAGGAAACTATAATAGAAGGGGATATTTTTAACTCTTTAAATAATTTATTACCTTTATAGCTTTAGTTTCCAAGTAGAATTTCTCTCAAAAGCATATGTCCAAAATAATTATTTGCATAGTTGAATAACTTCTAAAGAAAGAGAGAGAATACCTTGGAATTAACTAGCTTTACTCATGTCTCTGTCTATAATCATCTATCTATACTGATACTGTGACTCATTACACAATTTGGTTAGGTTTTAAGTTAATGTTTGATTAAGGAACCTGTCTTGAAAATTCACATTGAGCTAAGTGTTTATAAAGTTATAATTTAATAGCTTTTTATATGGATTGTGGTTCTTTTAAAATATATATGTAATTGTTATCAAGTGACAGAGGCAAGTAAATATTCTCAATATCAACTTTTGGGTAAATTTTACAGAACTATTAAAATAAAATTTTAAGTATCATGGAGAATAAAATTAAAGAAAACTTTGCCAAAGAAAAGCTTTTTAAAATAGGTTTGTGTATATATATATATATATATATATATATATATATATATATTTTACTTCACTTTCAACAAATTAACATAAAATAAAAGATAACCTATAAGTGTCTGTTAATTTCCACCAAGAACATTTTAAAGCTGAGTATTCATAATCCCATAAAAACTTAAGAAAATTACAGTGAAATTAGTCATACAGCTTATAATGGGACTGTTTATCAATGACAGAAAATAAAAATGAAAATTATTCAATGTTATAAGCCTAGTCTATAAATATGTTTTAAAATGCAGGTAAGGAAATCAAACATTTATAGCTTTTCTGTGGTGAGAACAGCTTTGTCACCTGTTAGTTTGGATTTGGAGAGAGATAATAATCCTAAATTCTCTAAACTAATGTAAGACCTGCCCCTCCCACAAATGCTGAAACTTGCTGACATAGGCTGTCTAAAGTGATCCGTAGGTTAAAATCATTGCGTGTTTATAATGTTGTGCTGTAGGTGTAACAGATGTTTCTTTTTGTCTTATAAGTATTTTGTCTTATAAGAATTTTTATGTTAAATTTAAGCTTAGAATTCTAAAAGATAAAAAATTACATGTTAATTATTACACAAGTTAAGCCACTGCAAAAATATACCAAAATCCGGTGGTTTAAATCATTTTTCCTGGGAGTCTAGGGGCAGGTGGTCTAAATCGCATGCGTCAACTCAGCATTACTAAGAAGCTTTTACTTCTGTATCTGAGGCTCTATTGTGTCTTTCTTCTAGTCAAAGGGAAGAACAAATAGTAGAGGAAGCCCCAATCCAACCCCTTAATTAGTGAGACCTAGAAATGTCACACTCACTTCTGTCCACATCCCAGTGAACATTGCTCAACACACATCTGCAGGAGCTGAGAGAAACTGGTTTTAGCAGATTCTGCTTGGTGAAGCAGCTGATGTCCCTCACATGCTGAAGAAATTGCTGAATCCCTTTTTGATTACTCTCTTGTGACATTTCATACACAAAATAATATTTGACACATCAGTAGTCCTACTGCAAGCTGCCTATTTTAATTATTAAAGTATTTGTAAACCTTGATACGATATTGTAAGGTGTTTTTGCCTGTGACTATATGCGAACCACTGTATCTATCTGCTTGATACTTTTCTTGACTACTTACAGTAGAATAGAATTCCAATCCTATATCTATCTCACAGATAGAATATACTGATGCAACAGGGATGAATATAACTGTAAACATTACCATTTTGTTTTATAACATATAATAAATACACGATTTTCTACCTGAGTACATTATAGGAAGCAAACAATTGCTAAACATTCTTCTGTCTTCACATTTTATGGCACAATTCAAACAACTCTTGCAATTATGTTTATTGGCCTAAAATGTTCTTAAACTGTCCAGATTCAGCATTATCCAATAGAACTTTTCTGTGATGGTGGCATTTTCTAGAACTGTATCATCTAGATTCATATGTACCACCTGTGTGAGGTTTTGGATCATTTGCATTATGACTGGTGTGCCTAAGAAATGGAAATATAAACATTGTTCTGTTTTGATAAATTTAAGCTGCCAGTTGTGATTAGCACTCACCACATGGAGTACATAATTCCATTCACTCCTTGCTCCATCTACTGATTTATTTCAGTCACATCTCTTTCCCCACATCATACTACTTCCTAAATATCTTATCAGGCATTTAATTACTCGATATTTATATATTGAGTATTTTCTCCTTTGGATAAGAAGTTTTATATTAACCTTATTTTTTCAGTTTAAAGCTCTAGACATTCTATAATATTAAAAATATTTTATTGCTCAGATTAAAACTCATTTTTACAAGAATAATATAGATAATACTTATATTCTAATTTTGACCACTTTATAGATGCATAAACTGATACAACCACAAGTTAATTAGCTTTTGCCTACCATCATATGTATGTAGTAAATGTAGTAAATGATTGAGCTGGGATGTATGTAAACCTGAGGCAAGAAGGCTTCACATACCAGACTCTTATTCCATCTCATTTCAATATTTACTGTCTCATCATTCTAGAGAGTGAGTTTTTATCAGTGGTTCTCTTTATTCAAAATTCATCACAGATGGGCCTTTCTGAGAACATTATTTGTGTATTCATAATGCAGGAAAATATATTGCTTCTGGCAAGAAAAAAGAAAAAAGAGCTGTAATGATCAGATTTAACTCAGGTTAATCATAACCTCTATGTTAAAATTACTTAGAGGCATATTGTCCATAATTAAGTCATCTTATGCACTAATATTACAGAATAAGGGATACCTTTAAGTGACATGACATCTATCATTTTAAGCATGCCCCCAAGCCTTTTTTCAGATTGCTCATAAAATTTCTCATTCTCTAGAGAAATGTGATCTCTAAGAAATAAATGTCTCTGTCAAGTCACAAGTAATGTGAGCACATGATGAAAAAATGGAATTGCTGAGTCTCATATGGGATATTGCAGTATTGTAAAATTGATTTTCTTCCCTGGTATTTAAGTTCTCATGGTCATGTTAGGATTTACCTCCTGGATATAAAGGGAAGGTTATGATACCTTTTAGGGAGGTGGGAAATAAAGGCCTTTGGTGAAGAAAGTAGGAGGATATTTTTTTCACATGAAATTCTTTATCATAAAATGCTAATGTTGGTGTTCTTGTCTTTATGTCTATGCATTCTTTAGCTATGAGGATAACAGACCCTTCATCAAGTAAGAATGACCTGAATGGCTGATAAATTGCATTTATCAGTGTGGTCCCATGAACCAGCTGTCAGATCAGTACTGAGAGATCTCTAGAGCTTCTGTCATTCACATTGAGGCAGAAGAGCAAACTGTGCAGGAAACACTGGCGTACAACTTACATGCAGAGTCCTGCAGGTGTACTGCCAGAAAGGAACAAGAATTCTATGTCACCTCTGTTAATGGGCTATCACTTGAGTTCAGTGCCGCAGTAACAGCACTTTTCTGTGGTACAGACTTGTGTCTCTCTCATGGGGAGCTCCTCAAACTGGGATGTGTTCTTCTTTGCTGCGCATGTCCAAATTTCTGTTGTGCATTCAGGTATCATTCGTCTTAAATTGTTTTCTGACTTAGTAGGGGATCTTTAAAATGATTTCATGGATAAGAAACTACCCAGTTGCAATTAGCATTAATGATTTCCTTTATTAACTATAACAGTGGGGAAAGGCCCTTTAAATTTTACATATGTAAACTTTTCCCTTTGAAATTGGACACCTGTATCGTGATGGATAATCGAATTGCTTATGAATACATTGAAATTTTTGAAACGAATTTACAAGTCTGGACCAGCCTAACAAATGGAGAGATAATGGTAACAATTGGGTATTTGCCTAAATTTCAAAATTTACATGTCCTGCAAGAATCAACTCCGATTGGCCACCTGTGGGCTACCTTGCTGTAGACGTTCAGTTTGTTCTTCTGGTGAAGAGTCCTTTGTTTCCATTCCCCAATCCCATCACACTTTCTTCTTCATGCTTTTGCTTATTTCCTTCTTTGGAAATTAGAGCTCACTACAGTTCTAGACCATTTAACCCTTGGATCCATTGTATGTTTTCTACTGGATAATGGCTGACGTCAGTATTTTGTGCCATCTTTTGGTTTCTAAATCTAAGTAGACACTTTCCCTTTATTTAACGGTGATTCTTTCCATTTTTTCTTTTTTGGATATCTGTAAGGATCAGAAAGCTATTGTTTGTATGTTTCCATATTTTGGAATTCAGTTTTGAAATAAATATTAACATTTAAGATGTTTTCTAATTCATATAAGCAAATGTGCCAAATGCAAGAGCAAACCTCCTTTATTCAATAGTCTGGAAGCTTTATAACGGACCTGACATTTAAAACTGAAATATAATGCCTGATTGTGTTGAAGACTTATAACAATATTTATAATCAGTTTCAATAAGCCTCTGAGACCATATCTTAAAATATTTAAAAAAAAAAAACAAAATGATTGAATTCAGATTATGGTGAATTATGTAGTTTTTCCTCTTCTCTTTGAAAAGAATCAATTCCCCCAAATATTTCCTCCTTGGACCAGAAAAATGAAAAATAATAGGGTACTGAATAGAAATGTTAGCTTGATGTGTTCAAAGAAGGGATTCTGGGACAGTAAGCTATGGGCCTGTGAATGTGTAGGCATCTTGGATGCTTTGAGTCCTATTTCCCCTTCTACTTCCAAAGTTAAGAAGGATTCCATTTTCAGTTACTAGAGCCCCATTTATCAAAAAAGTTCATTTTGTGTTCATAGTAAGTGTGTAGCATGATAACAAATATGTGAACCTCTGTCACCCACTTATGACCATTAAACATGACAGCTTTGGAGGAAACCCAGCAAATGGAGTAAAGGTGACGACAGTTCACCTTTCCTGCTACACTACTCCATTCATACCACTCCATCCGCATTCTCAGCTTCATCCTCTGCCCAGTCTGTAGATGCTTCTGAGAGATGAAGACATCCTAGGCCTATCAAGAGGTTAAAGGCCTGATTTTGAAAAACCTAGTCCAACATAATCAACAAGATAGCACCCAAAAGCTAGAAGGTTGTTACTGGTAGAGTTAGAGGGGAACTTTTTCTTTTGCTGCATTTGCACTACATGTCTGTAGAATTGGATAAATGGGCCTGTTCATCTTTAAATATGTGCTTCAAATACTGGTTCCTTCTAGTCAGAGTTAGTTTTTGCCAACAAGTATAATAATTTTTAATAGGGAGAAAAGGAAATTTGGAAAAATGCGGTACAAACATATTAGATGAAGCATTAAGGACTGAATGCACCCAGCAAATATACAAAGGAGGCTGGTGAAGACTAATGTAACTTTTAAGACTTTTTCTCCTTTCCCATGCACCATAATTACATATCCATACCATTTGCATATGTATTGCAAAGACATGAATAATTTATGGCACAAATCTGCTTTTGCTTAAATGAATTTCTGTGTTCATAACATTTTCATCCATGTATATCACCCAAGCTTGATAACTTCTAGTCTCATTAAAATCTTAAAGCACTTATACATGCCACTTGTCTCTCATTTTCTGTCATTAAAACTTACCATAACTTTTTTTTTCAGTGTCAGTATCATTGATAGGACATGGTTATATTAACTCAGGACTAATTACTTGATAACTCTGAATTTTCTCCTCTCTCCGCAGGTCATGGGTGATAGGTGCAATAGCTCTTCTCTGCCTGTTAGGATTGACCTGGGCCTTTGGACTCATGTATATTAATGAAAGCACAGTCATCATGGCGTATCTCTTCACCATTTTCAATTCTCTACAGGGAATGTTTATATTCATTTTCCACTGTGTCCTACAGAAGAAGGTAAGCTACAGTTTTTCAAGATCAAATGGCCAATATTTCATGATGGTAAAGGATGCAGTCCCTATACACATATAGCATTCTTTGTTGTTGTTGTTGTTTTAATGAAAGATATTACTCAACTTTCTCAAAAATCAAATGTAACACATTACTTCATTTATTTTTATACTAGTAATGACAACATATATGCAAAGTAAAAATATAATAGTTAGAAAGGGTGTTCAGGTTAATAAAACCATATTTTGTTATTTGTACAATGCTCAAAAAAAGTGTTTTCTTACAGACTTGTTTGTATATCCATGGGGAGAAAAATGGAAGTTGTGTTTTAGAGAGTAACTTCTCAATGTAAATCATGGAATGGGCTAATTTTCTGATTTTCTGTATTGATAAAGGAATAAAATAATTTATCTAAAAAGCCAGTTTTAGTAATTAAGTATCTTGGTTCATATTTTTTAAACCATAAGATTGAATTTCCATTCTGATACTTTTCAACTCTATTAAAAATGTCTCTATAGGTTTTATTACATGGAGCCTTAGCCAGATTGCCTGGGTTTCAGTCTTAAGACCTCCATTTAAAAAGTTCTCTGATTTTCAGCAAGTTAATTAACCTACTCATATCCAAGTTTTCTCATATGTGACATGGAAGTAATGAAAATAAGTATGAAATATTTAAAGAAATGGCTTTCAAAATGAAGTGGCAAATATTTTAATGTCAGAAAATAATACTAAGACTTTAATTTTGTTTTGGTAAACAGGAAAAATGAGAACTAATTATCTCTATCTCTAAGATTTCTTTATTCAAGACTAAAAACCAAAGTACTGTCCAAAACAGACCTTAAGATTCATGACAACTTATTAAGGTGGACAAGTGGGCAAGAATAAGACAGATTTTTATTGTGTTTCACTTTTACCTGGTAAATGTCCACAATGTTTTCCTATGGTCACAAATGCAGTATAGATTAATAACCATCAGTCAGACTCCTAAATTGGATAACACATATTAGAGTGGATGAGTTTTATGATGATAGAGTCAAATTCACCACAAAGACTGGCTACCATTGGATGGATGAAGTCTGTCAAATGATATCCCCAAAATGTCAGTAGCTCAACTCACCATATGTTTATTTTCACTCAGTGACCCAATAAATGAAATACCCCATAAAGACACAAGCTTGATAAAGGCTTAACCAGTATCCAGCACATAATGTCGTAGTCATCATGGTTGATGACATCATGCAGATAACCTGGGAATGAAAGAGAACCTTGTGAAAACCATCTGGATGTGGCTTGTATCACTTATATTCACTTTCCATAAAACAGGACATAAAACAGAAAGTACCAGCTAAACTTCTTGGGGCAGTGGGAAAGACAGTTTAACTTTTAGCTTGTGTACCCAGAAGTAGAGCACCTGGGTATGGCCACCAGATGGTAATTAGCTGCACTTGATGGGTTTGAAGAAGAAGAGGAAGGCAAACAGTAAGGGAAAGGGCTGGGTAATTATAAAGGATTGAACTTTATCTCACCCTCTGGAGACGGAGAAGGCCCTGTTGAAGTTCTAGACTTGTGTGGTCTCCATCCTATGGCAAGCTAGACCAAGCAGCTAGCAGGGAGGTCTTCCTGTACTGCCACCCCAGGATCTCATCTAATCTTAATAACCTCCCAGAGACTCTGCCTCTGATACTATTAACATGTTAATTTGGGGATTAAGTTTCCAACAGATGAACTTTGCAGGGGACAAATCACACTAATGTATTGACTATAAGGGCACTTAAAGGATATATTTACTAAGCCATGATTGAGAATATATCTTTATGTTTATAATAAATAATAATCATTTCTCTTTGTATTAAAAGAATAAAGGTGGCATTTTTATTGTCAAGAACATGCCTCAGCATCAGCAAATATAAAAATTTAATTGCAGAAATAGTCAAATATTTGGCTTTGTCATTGCAGAATTATCTTTAAAAGCTTTCTGATTAAATTTCACTAATACAACTTTGCTCTTAACAATTGCTTATATATTGTGGCTAAATATATGCTATTCACTTTGAAGATTTTATATTTTATAAGGTTACTTGTTGATTGATTGAACTCGCAAATAGAAATTAAACCTTTTGAGTAGAAATTTATTTTCCAGTATGGGTTGTATGGTCTATCAATAATACTTCCACTGGCTACAATGGTCACTGTTGCCTTTTTTATGAATTCAGTTATTCATTACTTATTTATTTATTTATTCTTACTTGAGAGTATGGAAAAATATTCTATAAGTAAGGCCTATTTTTTTTTCTGTCCTCAATATTCTAGACATCGCACTGAAATCAGCTAGCATTATCCGATATCATATCATGTGAAGTAGATCAGATACTCTATGGACATGGCTCAAGTTAATCTTTTTCATTAAGACATATGCTGAACATTTTAAATTATATGAGCGCAAAAGAGAATTAGCACATTGAATCCTGTAGCAATGCAGCTGGCATGGAGATTGGCATTACCATATATCTAGATTTTCTGGTCCTTTATAAAATCAATGCAGAATATTCAATCTTTGTTGTAAAATGCAAATAGTTCACAATGAACTCCTTTGGCTTATCTAGTAGTATTTCTTTGGTAACTGGAAGAAAAATGCACCTTCAAATTTCTCTCTTTTCTTTTTTCTTCTACCACAATATTTGTTCCAGTCAAAAATCACTCTGGATTAAGGAAACACAATCATTGGCTGGGTACACCAGACAAAGAAAGTGAGATTAAAAGACATTAAAGTTCCTAAAGATGCTTCCAATTTTTAATACAAATTTTCAAACTATTCAATCACATGTATCTTTGATTAAGGATTATTTTAAGGCTTCCTAAATTGTAATCAAATTATTGCCACATTATTTTAAGAATAATCAATACCAAGCAGATATTCTATTGATTATTTAATAACTATCCTAATAATATGCTCTTCACTTGTCGATACTGTTAGAAAAGGATGCCACCTTCTCTCTTGTCCCTTATCTTTTCTCAACTTTATCTTGTAAATACAATAATTCTAAACTTTCTTTTCAGTTCTATCTCATAGTTATCTTTGATAAGTCTTATTTGGTTTCCACCACCCATGCCCACCAGGGCATTCTTCATTGATGTTTAATTCTACTCTGTTTCTCTGTCCCCGTTCTTTATGTATGAGTAGGGATGCTAGGTTCATACTAAGTAAGTGTTCTACTTCTAAGCTGTGTCCTTACCTTCTACTATTGGTACTAAGTAATTTATTTCCTTACTGTGATGAAATAACTGGCAAAAGCAACTTAAGGAAGAAGCATTTATTTGGGCTCACATTTTGAGATGGTACAGGATTTCACTGAAGTGAGGGCATGATGTATGTTTGGGGAGTGTAAGACACCTGCCATGCCAGGTCCTCAGTCAGGAAGCGGAGATGTTCATCTTTATTTCCTCAATACTTTGACGGATTAAGAATTTATTCCTCAGGGCTGTTTTTTTTTTAAAGTAACTATATTTATGTGTAATTATTGAGAACAATTTTAGGGAAGTATGTTAAAATATTTCAAAATTTTACACTAAGTCTTCAATTTTCAGGCTTAGAAGAAAAACGAACAAGAGATATAGATTTAAATGACATGCTTAGCCTAGTACAGTTCCCTTTCCTGTCTTTAAATATTAAATCATTTTCTTCTCTTTGTTCTCTTGGATTCTCTACCTCACTCTTTGCAACTTTCTCAATGATTTTTATCTAAAGAACATCAGTTAAAATACTGTTGAACCAATAGGTCATGCTCTAAAGTTAAAGCTAAAAACAGTGTCTTGAAAGTTTCAAATATTTGGTCTTTGAATTATGGGGGTAATACCACTGGGTGTTACTGATACAGTATGTATATTTACAAAGGTTACAGTAGCATGAAATTTAAGCTTGACAACATGATTTTTACTATTTTGTACTGGAAATAGATGATCCACAATTTTAGTTTCTGTGGAGTTAGGAAGTAATTATGTTCTTGAAAATAAAAGCTCATGTACACGTTATACCTTACTTCTTAGCTGAAATGGATGACACTCTAATAGAAGTTAACATCTCATTGGCTAGGTACGGAAAGAGTATGGGAAGTGCTTGCGCACGCATTGCTGTAGTGGCAAAAGCACGGAGAGTTCGATTGGCTCAGGGAAAACATCTGGTTCTCGAACTCCAGGACGGTACTCCACAGGCTCCCAGGTAAATGCAACCGGCTCCTTGAACTGAAATGATCTTTCCGTTTGTCGGTTTCTGGTCACCCCATCCCATGTGTTTGCCACATCAAGAGTTTGGTTTTGGTGTGAATGTAAGGAAACAGGAGGAACAAAACTTATTTAAAAATTACGGAAAATACAAAATATGGGTGGGGCTTATAAGACCCCTTTTCCGAATTCAGAGCCATCCCCAGATATGACTGGTGGGGAAGAGAAAGTCGGTGTTCTTCAAAGATGGGGACTCTCATATGCTGCCATGCTACATTAAATAGTTCAACACACATTTGAGTGATGGGCAATACTAATTAGACTCAGGGGATCATAAGGAAAACAAACAGACAGACAACAACAAGAGGATATGAAGTTGGGAAGGGAGCATTGTGGGAGGTCTACGAGAAGTTGGAGTAGAGAACATATCTAATCAAAATACATTGTGTGCATGCATGGAATTCTCAAAGGAAAAATTAAAGTTAAAAAATGTGTGGATTGTGAAATGTACAGTCTAAATTCACATAGTTACTATTGACATAAGAATGGTTACAGCAAACAGAGAAAGAAATTTGCCACTAGAGCTGAAATTTATACAAAGTTATATTTTATACTTATGATCCACAAATGTCTTAGACATTTGAATGTACATAATAATTCTCAGTTACATAACTGTAAAAAGTTACATACTATAAATGATATGTGGGAATGGAAAGATGGCTTACCTGTTAAGAGCACTAACTGCTTTTCCAGAACACCCCAGGTTTGATTCCTAGCACCTACATGTGGTTCACAGTCCCAAGGGATCTAAAACCCTATTCTGGCCCCTGCAGTTACTGTACACATGTGGTATACATGTGTATATGCAACCAAAACACCCATATAAATGAAGCAAAAATGTAAGAGAAAAAAATTGCAAAAAGAAAATGACATGTTGAGGAAAAGAATTATACTTCACACAATGTTATATGTTTGAAGACCAAATGATCCAGTGCATGTAAGAACAACACCAAACCATCTTTGGTATCCAAGTTCTATGGCATTCCCCCAAGTCGAGTAGGAAACATGGCTAAATTGTCCCGGGCTAAGGACATTTTATAAGCTCTTAGATAAAGTGTTTGCCATTTTCCAAGACCACAGTGTAGGACAGTGTGGGTCATGAGTGAATTTGTATTAGGACTGGCAGGCTAATCTTTGTGGTTTAATAGCAAATATGATAATGTCTAGATTGTTCTGAGGAAGGCTTAAATTAAGTAGATAAGTACAGTTTAAATGAAGAGTTCACTTTTCTTCTTTTATTTTTTGTAATTGTATATGTCAAACCAAGACTGTTGCACATGATGGGCAAATAGTGTACCTCCAATCTACAATTCCAGTAAATGTCTTTATCATTGGATTTGTTGATAAAGCTTAATAAATTAAGTTTATACAAACTTCTTTTTATATCTTAACAAAATCAATTCCTTTTGCCTGTAATAATTTATTTCCAAAGGAAACATATCTGGTTTTTTTTGTTTTGTTTTGTTTTTTTGTTGTTTTTGGTTTGGGTTTTGGTTTTTTGAGAGAGGGTTTCTCTGTATAGCTTTGGAGCCTGACCTGGAACTTACTCTATAGACCAGGCTGGCCTCGAGCTCATAGAGATCCACCTGCCTCTACTTCTTGAGTTCTGGGATCAAAGGCATATGCCTCCACAACCCACTCACATCTGGTTATTTTAACCATATCAACTGACTATAGATTTAAAGACCTAGCTAGTGTGGAACTCATAAATCAAAGTTGATCATAAACACTATCTTCAAACTTAATGGACTTTTATTTTGCAAATGAAACCATAAGCCTAATATTAGTCTAGTATAATGCACTAAATTTTGACAAGTACCCTCTAACTTTCACAATGTATCTGACTATCTTAAATATCTTAATAACCACAAGTCATAAAACTTAGTCCAAACATATTGTGTAATCATTAACACTTCAAATGTAATCTGTTATTTTCATAACTTTCTGAGGTTTCAGTGTAACAAATTAGGGCTTGAAAGATGTATTCACTCAGGTGGACAGAGATTCATGAGTTTAGAGTTTTCAGTCTGTACATCAGACACGTGAATATGAACTTAAGAATCAGGGCAAATCAGGATGATGCTTCAGGCAACATCCTCCTCTTGTGAACAGTGACTTTATTACTACAGAATAACTTCTGCCCCTCCCTCTTTTTCTACTAACAGTTTCAACAGCTTTTGAATTAAAATGGCTGAGAGTCTGCATATTGGCCGGCCTGGTTGGACTCAGCCTGCATTCCACATGACTAGCTCATTACGTATCACCCCATGGTCACTTTTATTGACAAATATCACTATGAAAGTATAATGTTGAAGAATTTCAGTTGAGTTACAGCAGACTGATGTGATACTTGACAGTGTCTTTGGAGAATGAAATAAGCAATGCAGTTCAATAACCTTAATGAAAGTGAACCAACACTACGGTTCCCTAGTCTTACCATTTACTAGTCATGGCTTAAAAAAATGAGTTTTTCTTATTGTTCTTTTGCTTTTATTATATAGAGTCTCATTATGTGGTCCACAAATTGAGAACCTATTTCCTCAGCTGTACAAGAGCTAGGATTATAGGATTTAACTTTTCTTTTAGTCAGAACCAAGTTTTAATCTGATTTACACAGTTTTCCCATGTATAAAATGGTAGCAATAGTAGTAGTTTCTTAGGCTGTCATGATTAAGCACACAAAACATTTTTAATAATAAGAGATGTTCAATAAATTGGTAGGTGCTGTGACTTATTCTTGTCCCTTTCACAGGGTAGAATGTCACATATATTATAACTTGGATGTTTTCTTCACCTTTCCAGTTTATAATGTAGTTTATATTAGTTTTATACATCATATAATGCTTATTGTTGTTAGTTGTGACAATATGATCCTACCTAAGTGATAGGTGCTTACATTCTGTCTGAGTAAAACAAATGTCTAGTGGATGGAGAGATGGCTCAGGGGTTAGGAGTGCTCACTGCTCCTCTGGGTTTGATTCCCAGCACCCACATGGCATCTACGGCCATCTGTAACTCCAGCTCCCAGGTATCTGATTTCCTTTACTGGCCTCCACAGACACTGCATATGTATGGTGCACAGACATTCATACAAGCAAAACTCCCATAAAATGAATACTAATCTCAAAAGTCCTTTTGAAAGCAAGTAAATATGTTTCAATATTAATTGTGACTTTTTGTAAGAAAATGTTAATTTTTCACCATTATAAAAGAAAAAAAATGTGCCATAGGAATACAAATATTACATCAGAGAGCCACTAAAATAGTAATTACTATGTATTTTATTTTTGAATTTAGAATAGAGTGCATCCTGTATAATGCAATAAATCTTTGAAACTCTGAAGATAAAATGGTTGAAAGATAACTTCCCTTATATTTTAGAACTTTAATTCTCATGTTGATAGACAAGAATTTATTTACAGACCAAAACTAAAATCAGGTTTCAAAGCTGCTAGAGAAAGAAGTAAAATGGCAATGTGAAGTCCCTAGGTGAACTCACAGATGCAGTCATAGAGAAAGATTTTTTTTTTTGAAGTTGATACTTATGTCAACATCTAAACAGTATTCTCTATCAGAGAAGGGATTTCAGAATAACACAATTCAGGGTGAGAGAAGACCTAGTATGAGACACTTGAGGCCAAGGAAATTATCAAATTCAAAAATATGAAGAACATCATTAGATAGTTAACAAAGTTCCTCAGAGAGGTTGGGAGACCCAGACATGCTGAGGCAATATTGGAGATGAAGCCATAGGAAAACACAAGAGATCCCAAAGTATTGGTGACTGTGTGCAAATTCAGATTTTATTTTTATTATTTTGAAAACATGATGAAGTGGCTTAGAAAAAGAAGAGATAAAATATTATCCACATGTACCAAATATTCTATAGTAACTGTAGTTTTGGAGGGCATGACTGGCAAAACAAAGAGTCAGAGTCCTCCTCACCTCCAGGTACCATTTACTTACTTCCTGGTGGTAACAACTTATCAAAGATTAATAATATGGGAATCAGGCCAACATCAATTTATAGGGCTATACACGGAGAGATTTTATAGTGTTGAATGAGAGAATGTTCTACTCACTTTGATCACCCTGTGATCGTTTTGCTATTTATCTTACATCATTTATTTTATTGTATTTGGATGTATTCACCTTTCAATACATAACATTTTAAAAATAAAACAATGCATGTAATGAATATGAAAATATGTAAGTATGAATGAACATCTGTGGATCCAGCATTCAGATTGGGAAACAAAGTGTCCCCGGTTGGTGTTCCCCACCATGTGACATCTCCCTCAACCATCTGTATACCTCTCCCCAAATTCTGAATTTTCTTATTTCATTGACTGACTCTCTTGTTCTCTTCTCCTTCATTTTGTCCTTTATTCTCTCTTTCTGTAAAGTGGCATCTTACTGTATGAATATGGTGTAATTGTTTCCTTCGTCTCTATAGTCTAGGACATGTCCTGTTGTTGTTGACGATGTTGAGTTTTGCTGTATATGCATGTGCCCATGTGTCTACACCCCAGTCTGGGAGAAGTGTGTGCTGTATATCAATATGGCTGACTAATTCTCAATGTATATTAAGATTTATACAATTGCCAGATACTCTAAGACTAACTACTACTATTCAAATATAGTGGGAACACAACCAGCTTGTGAGTTTGGGTTCACTTTTAGTAGCTCCAAAGTTTATTATTAAGCCTCTCATCTCTGGAACAGCCTCTGGAAGTATGTCGTTCCCTCCTCAGAATAGCAGTATTTTTTTTTTTTTATTTTTTTATTTTTTTATTTTTTTTTGGTTTTTTGATACAGGGTTTTTCTTGAGTAGCTTTGCGCTTTTCCTGGAACTCACTTGGTAGCCCAGGCTGGCCTCGAACTCACAGAGATCCGCCTGCCTCTGCCTCCCGAGTGCTGGGATTAAAGGCGTGCGCCACCACCGCCTGGCTTAATCCCCAATTTAATAGGATGGCAAAACACAATAAAATAAAAAACTTCTCCCCCAGACTAAAACTTTCTTTGTGAGTGATCTGCCTCTTGGATATTTGAATAAATAGAAATCACAATGGAAGACTTTTCAGGTATCTATAGAGCTTCCTACCCTGAGGTGATGAATACAGCTGAGATATCTACTTTTAACACCTCAAAAGAAAAGTCAGGAGGTAGGTAATCCCTGAGATGTCATTGGTCTCCTTGAAAAACTTCTGGAAAATGTACCTTCAAGAGCATTTCAATAGTAATCTGTGTTCTTTTGTTAGTAGACTCTTATGAGAGTCTGAATTTTTAATTTGCTTTACTTTTGAAACTTAAGTTTTCTGGAGTATACATCTCTGTGTTTAACTTGGTTACACTGGTATAGTACTTTGCCTCTTTCATCGTCCACAGTTTTAATTGTTATGGCATGGGCATCGAAGAAAATGCCTAATGACAAGAAAAGAGCATCACTAATTTTATTTCTGATGTTTTCATGCCACTGCTTTGGAAGTGTATAGAAATGTTTCTTTGCTAGATGCTAGGAACAGAGACCCACATAGCTTTGAAACAAACTTTAAAGTATGTGTGAAAAGTCATTTTCTCATGAGTCTGTCTCCTTCTTCCTTCTCAATTCAGAGCCGAATTCGGAGAATGTGGAATGACACTGTCCGGAAGCAGTCAGAGTCGTCCTTCATTACTGGAGACATAAACAGCTCCGCATCACTCAACAGAGGTAGTTAGGAATGATGTTTCATAGTTATTGCTTTTCTGAAGAATGTAGGAAGTTCTTAAATGCATTGCTACATATATACATGTTCTGACCCCTGTTTTATGTACTAGAAATATCATAAGGGTTTGAACCTGGTGAGTGCAGCATTGTATTTCATTATTAATAATAGACTTTTTTTTTTTTAGTACTGAATTTTCAGGAAATCTTTTCTGAGAGAAATTTTAAAAAATGAGAAACTTATTTTCCTAATCATCTGCCACTGTGATAAACTGGTGAGGCGTTAGGCCTCATTGAAAGGAGTGAAAATGGGCAATTATATAACTATATAGTCACCTAAAGCATTGTAGAGTTCCTATTGTCCCAGGTATAAGTCAAGTTCATCATCCTTTTGGAAGTAAAAATAGACTGTCCAATACATAGTTGAGGCAAGATAAGGGAAAATTAACTCTAGTCTTAGTGTCAAACATACATCCAGATAATCTTGGACATTTAAAGACCTAGCGTGAAAGTAATGTTCATAATGTTTTATGAATGGGGAGGGGGTGTTCATGTAACATTTGTGGATGAAATGCTCTAAGATCACCATTTAGACTTTGAAATCAAGTTAACAAAATCTGCCATTTTGTTTGTGAGAATCAATCAATCTATATGTATCTCTCTGTGTTTCTCTATCTCTCTTGAGTTTATATGTGCATGTGAATGTACATGTCAGTATGTGTGTGGTATGAGGCAGAGGGAGGGAGAGAAAGAGGGAGGGAGAGAGAAGAAAAGAGAGATCAGAAATAACTTGGCTGTCATAGAAATGAGTGAATACAATTTGAAGTGAGAATTGGAAAGCACTTACAGTTTTATCTGGGAAGCTGTCATTTTTATGAACTAAATTATTCTTTTTACTAACATTTTTGTTCTTGCCTTAACGTCAAACAAATTGATCAGTCTGTTTTAAGCCTCTTTTGTAATGCTACTTAGAAACAGATTATACAGCTATTTCGCTTTATCATTAGGAACTCTGATGTTGGAGCTCCAGATAGCCTCACATAAAAGGTCTCATATTCATAGAGTTACATATAAAGCGCTAGGATAAAGGGTATGCAAGCTGAGTTTGTTGCCAACATACATGGTTTACTCTAACCTTGCTGAGTGACAGGATTTGGATTTATTTGAGTCATGAGATAGTAACTGTAATTACTGATGACTTGAAATTATCTGTATTGCTTTATGATAAGTAAAAATAGTGAGAGGGAATTATTCATCCAAATACAAGAAAGGGTATTGAAGTGAAAAAGCCACATTCTTATTTCCTTCATAATCCAATTTTTATTCACTAGATTATGCTCATTTAGAAAGTTCCTCTCATGTTTTCTTCATGAAAATTGACAGAAATATCAGTATTTCCTCACTTTCTTCCATAAATCATCACGCACGCCTCAGTGGCCTTGAAATTACTTTGCTGCCTGTGTGACTGATAGTCTTTGATGTTAAATAATAGCATCTGTAGAGGTTTTGCTCTTTGATCCTACAAACCAAACTAGCGTTATCAATAAGATACTGACAGAGTATCTAGATTCCAGAGATCCCAGCAGCCACCGAAGAGTTTTTGTTTACAAAGATTGAGAAAATAGGATTTGAATGATACACTAGTCTTTTGGCCTATTGTGAGGATGGATACACTGTGTGAATTATTTTTTTTCTAGTGTTGTGATCAGATTTAATGTAAAGAAACTATGCTATGCAAGTTCAGTAATAAATGCTTTCATGGGCTATTTTTGTGGCATTAAAGTCAAGCACATTACATAATATCTTTTTTTTTTATTTCTTTTCCACTAGTCCCCTCAAATTTCATCAGTTTTGACAACAGTGATCTGAGCATGACTGGGCCAATTTGAAATAAATTTAAAGGAAATGAACATATTTTTTACTGGCTGATTTTATATGTTAGTTTGTTCATTACGAAAATTTCAATACAAAAGCTTTTAATTTTGGAGTCTAAAATTCTTATAACAAGAATAAGTTATTTTGGTAATGACCTAGGGGAAAGGGTGAATAGGAGTTTTTGGGTTTTTTTTTTTTTTTTTTTTTTTTTGACATGTGTTCAGGTTGGGATCTTTTCAAGATATATATTCATCGTTTTACTTGCAATATTAGTGGTGCTGGAAGTCACGGGGCTTTTCGTCATTATAAACTGGTGTGACACAAATATCCCAACTGAGGAACGCTTTAGTTTATTCTCATCGGCTTTTTTCTTTGAAATTTTCATACATGTATACCATGTATCCCAATCGGATCCCTCATTCCCTTCCCATCTCGCTCCAGGACCACCTGTCACATCTTTCTCTAAGTTCATGTCTTCAAATTATTTATTTATTTTTATTATTTTAAGTTACAGAGTTCAGTTAATGCCAACCATATGCTCATGGGTATGAGATTACCCTTAGGGGTACAGAACACTCTTCAAGTGACCATACTCTTGAGGAGAAGTGGCTCTTCCTCACCCCCATAACCATCAACTGCCAACTAGCATCTAACTAGGAAGAGAGCCTCAGAAGACCCTCCCCAATTAATCCCATTATTTTTTAAAATCTCACATGATTAGAATACTTTGAAATTTTATTTCTTCATAATATTTCTCTAAAGATAGTCTTTAACCTCCTTCTTTAATCTTGTCTTATTCCCCAGGATCTTATCTTCCCTGCATTCAGGCGTGTGTAACATATTTAGGTATGTGACATCCAAGATTCCTATTTCCAAATAGACACGTCAGTCACATCAACAATATAATGAACCACATCTGTGTACTCTACAGATTATATCCTCTATCATTAAACTAAACATCTTAGATACTACATCTTTGCATCTTCATATATTCTAACCTCCCATTCATTCTTAGGTTCAGCTATAAAATGTAGAAATTCTAATTCCATATCTTAATTAGATATGCACATCTTTTTTTTTTTACTTTAAGAGTACTGACCCTTGGAAACTATAAGCTATGGTTTAAGAATTTTTTTATTTTTAATATAGGTTTTCTTTCAAATCATATTACTGCTTATTATATCAGAGGAATATCATTTTATTATTTGTATGTCTCAACCTATGTTCTTTCAAACAATCACACCATCTCAGGATGAAGAGTCTGTCATACAGGACAGAGACACTTGTACTATTTTTTGTTGGTGTTTGGGTTTTGTTAATTTGTCTGTTTTTTCATCTGAGATATTCTTTTCTTAATCACCCTGTTACATTGTATATATTGACTATAACGGATATCTTTTTAGATTTCCCAGTAATAACAAACTTGATTGCTATTTGGACTTTATTCCTAGATGTTATATAAAACCCTGAAAATTTATTGCTAATTTTCCATGTAAAGTCTTATATAGTCTCTCTGCAAGTCTGTTGTTTGTCCACTAGTCTTTTTTAAATGTTCATTTAGGTTTGTACTTCGACTCTCAGAACTCAGGAAATTTTTTTCTATAAATATTCCCTAAACATTTCAAAAAGTTTTTTTTTCTTTCCCATGTGCTTGGCATAGTGTTGCACACCCGGGCAAATCTGCCCTTCATTCAGCCAGAAGCACTAGCAAAGTAACATTTCTAATGGCGCTATCCCAACTGGAAGAGGGACCTTAGGAACAAGCTGTGTAGTTAATGTAGAGTTTGAGCTGAGAGTGACACCCAGAGAAGCCAACTTTTCCACAAGCTTGATTGTCAGCTAGAGGGTTTGTTCACTGGGTTACTAAAATATTAACTATTTTGTTGGAAGGCTGAGGCTGTGCTCTACCCCAGCTCCTCCCAAGACTACATACAAATAAATCAAAATGGTGTATTTCTTTTTTTATGAGTTTATGACTATGAAAACACCAGCTATTTTGTTACAGCTGCTGTTTTTATAAGTGTATCACAATTTTCTTTATGCAGAGATGTGCTGATTAGACGTGTTAGTGTAGTTATTTTTTTCACTCATAACTCCTGCTCACTATCTGTGCTTAGGAAATCTCATCTTGAATCACTGTAAGATAATACGATCAACAGTAACTGACACTTGAGTTTAATCCAAAATTTTGGATTAAATAGAAACTGAGATTCTGAAATTAGATTTTATTATGTTTTTGTTATAACAAGTATTAAAATTACATTTAGTTTACCTTCTATTTAATTAATTGAGTTCAGACATTTTTTTTTTTTTACAAAACCAAGGTTTTCAATCTAGCTCCTCCAACGTGGTGGGTGTCTCAAACCTAACTGTCCCACCTCACAGTAATTTCAAAACTGGAGTTCTTCTGAATTAGAAAAAAAATTTTTTTTCCTTATGGAGAAATGACTTGGCTAGTATCCTAAGCATTATTTCTAACCCTTACTTTCCTGCTTCTGTTTTGTTAACCTACCACACAAGTGGATATGATCTAAATGTTATATATGGAATTTAAGCAGAAAGGCTATAGTTATTTAAGCCATGTTGACTTGTTTCATGTTCAGATAATGTTCTTTACATGTGTAGCACGTATTTACTGATACAGGTAGATTCTTATTTCAGGGTTCAGAGTTGTATCAGTCTGCACAAACATTCTTAATACATGTATGTAGTCAGTAAAATTATGATGGCCTCTGACAGCCCGTTTATGTTCATAGATTTGTAAGAACACAGCTACCAGCCTTTTAAAAGCTGGCCTGACCTGCTAGCAGCATTGCTGGTGAAATGGGGAAAGATTGCCACTGGGGAGACATTTGCAAGTCCTGACTGGATTCTGTTGCCTCACACAGTAGTTCTAAGAATTACGCAGTTCAATTCAGTGACTTCTGGCAAAGGGATTCGTCTCTCAGAGTCCATGGAATAAGAATCTAAATGGAATGAAAACTGATTCTTGCCAGTATCTCAAGGAACCAGACATAAAAATTCACTGTTCACTGCTCAGGGTTTCCTTTCCCTTTTGTTATCCAGAAAAAGGTGGGATGAATGAGTTGGTTCCCCAAATGCCAAGTAGAACAAAAAGTGAAAATTTACCT